GTGGTGCTGGGGGATTGAACCGCGGTCCCTGTGCTTTGCCAAGCTTGTTTCAAGTAGGTGCTTTAGACCACTGAGCCATCTCTCCAGCCCCAAGCACCTTTCTTTTTAAAGAAACTCCAAAGCTTTTTTTCTTAAGGGACTTAACAGTTCTAGTGAGCCTATATAAATTATGGCACAGGGCTGGGGAGCTAGCTCGGCAGTGTAATTGCCTGCCTGGTAAGCACAAGGACCCAGGTTCAGTCTGCAGCACTGCATGCCATGCCGGCCACCAAAACCAGGTATGCTGGTGCACACCTGTAGTTCGAGCGCTGGGAAGGCTGAGACAGGAGGATCACTATGAGTCCTAGCTGCGTAGTGAGACCCTGTACCAAACAAATAAATAAATAAATTTTTTTTTTTATGGCCCACACTTTGCACCTGTAAATTTCTCTCCCTCTCACAGACCTCTACCCTCAGCAGTATGACTGGGCACCAGATCTCGACTTCAAACACGTGTAATGGTTTACATCCTAACCTAGGCAACAAATGGGTAAGCTGGCAGGTGGTGGGAATACACCTTGATCACTCATCTTGATGATACCTCCAAGACCACATAGAAACCTGCAACTCCAGATTATAGTACACCTGTCTCTTAAGGACCAACATTTTATTCTCTCTGAGAGTCTATTGTTAGAATCCTGCCTAAGGGATTGGGGATAGAGCCCAGTGGTGCAGTGCCTGCCTGGCAAACATGAGGTCCTCAGTTTGAGTCCTGGTGCAAAAAAAAAAAAAAAAAAAAAAAAAGGAACCCTGAAAAGGAGGGACGATGTGTTTAGTTCCCAGTTTTTAGAGCTTTCTGTCCACAGTTGTCTGGCTTCAAGACAAGGTAGCATGGCAGAGAGGCAAAACTTCATGGCACCAAAAGACAGCAAAAGCAACAGAGAAAGCAAGAGCGAGAGAGTGAGAGAGTGACAGAGAGAGGAAAAAGAAGAGAAAGAGAGGGAAAGGGTGAGGGAGAGGGAGAGGAAGAGGGATGGAGAGAGAGAGGGAGAGGGAGAGAGAGAATAACCCTTTTGATGCCTCTCAAGGATATGCCTTGAAAATTCTTTTTTTGTGATGGGAGTCAGTGAACCGACTCCATGGTGGGGTGAGTTGAGGTCCCCATCACCTCTTTGGGGCCCAGTGTCCCTGGCCACCCTGCCTGGACCCTCTCCTGGCCTTCCCTGTAGTCAGGACCCCTGTGTCACCTCCTGTGTCACCTGGAGCTCCAGCCTCCCTTTCTCTGGCCAGCACCCTTCTGCTCTGCCCTCGCGCTCTTCATGTGTGAGGAGCAGAAGCCCTGATCGCTCAGGTCTCTCCTCACCCATCCTCCTCTGCTCCTTTGCTCCGCGGATGCACGGTCATCACTTTCTTTTTGGCTCAGTCCCTCCCACTGGTCCCTAGGCTGGCCTCCATGCAGAGGGTCCTCTTTAGGAAGGGGTAGGAGACAGGACAGGGTGGGTAGGGGTGACAGGTGAACAATGGGGAGGCCTCTGGGGTGCAGCAAGAGCCAGATGGAAGTGCTATCAGGTTGGGACCTCCCTGGGAGACCAACACCCAGAAGAGACAGGAGCCTTGCAGTCCCCACCCACACGCAGCCCAAGGAGGCCCAGATGCTGAGGCCCTAACCTAGAAGTCGGCATGTGGATTGCATGAGAAGACAGGCTCTAGGGTGAAACCTGATGCAGTGTGTCTGATGGCCTTGTCATAGGAGGGGAGCAGGACACAGGGATGCCAGGGACACATGTGCACTGGAAGGACCATGTAGGGACACAGAGAGAGGCAGCCATTAAGGTCAGGAACAGAAGCTGCCACAGAAACAGTGCCGCCAGCTCCTCGGTCAGGGCCAGCTGGCCGCGAGTCCCTGAGGGAGCTGCTCTGGTGTCATGGTGCCTGGACTGTAGCATCTTCTTAGCATGGCCTTGGGACTCACAGTAATTTCACCAGGGAAACCCAGAGGGGGTTCACTGGGAACTCAAGTCTGCCTCAAGGGACATTTCCAAATTGTCACTGGCCAGAGTGGGTCCTTGCTGACAAGGGAAATTAAAATTAACTCAATGGGGAGGATCTACAGGCAAAGGTTTTAATTATAAAGTTAGAGAACTTTGGAGGTCTCCAGCTTGAGTCTTCCCTAGCCGAGCACAGATGAAGTAGCTCACACTGACCTGTCCACAGAAGAAGAGACCTGTTCTTTGCAGGGGCTGTGATGGGCTGGGGCCGGCTCAGTGATACCTCAGCCTTGGTTTCATAGCTGCAAGGGAAGCTGCAGGACTGAGGGCAGCAACTCAGTTCCTGGGGGTGGAATCTTTAGGACTCGGGCAGCCTCTGCCATCTAAGGTTGGAGTAGATTTAGGGCTAAGAAGGGTTGTTTTGCCAACTCCCTGTATGCAGAGCTAAGGATTTGACCCAGAATTATACAAAATGAAGGTCCAATTTCCTCTGCTTTCAGTTACTTATTGGGAATTTGAGAGCCCAAAGGAAGAGTCAGTTTTCAGCAAGAGCCACTATGAATTCTCTGATTGCCTCAGAAGTAAAGGCAAATCACACATTGAATGGTAACAAGGGCCAGAAGTTTGTTCTCTGTTTCTACAGTGGTGACTACGTTATGAATGGATACTATTCCAATTTTCATATATTCATTTATAATCAGTTTAAGTTTTTTTTCAGATAGGATCTTACTATACAGCCCAGCCTGACTTCAAACTCACAGTGATCCTCCTACCTCAGTCTCCCAAGGTCTGAGATTACAGTCATGTGTCACCACGTCCAGCTATAGTCAGTTTGTTTATTTATTTATTTATTTATTTAGCAGAACTGGGGATTGAACTCAGGCCCTTGCACTTGCCAGGCAAGTGCTTATTCCACTGAGCCAGTTCTCCGGCCCCTATAGTCAGTTTAATACCAAGATTTACTTACTACGGTGGCAGTGGCAACATGGCGGGAGGACATGGATCTGGATGGGGGAGGAAAAGGGTGCTCGTGGAGGACCAGGAGGCGAGCAGAGATGATACGGGCTCAGCAGAAGAGAGCAGAGACAGCCAGAGAGAGGTCCATGTAACCTCAGCTGGGAAGGTCTGAACAGGATGGGCAGAAGGGAGAGGGGAGAGGAGATGGAGGAGACCTCTCACCTGAGAATCTCACTCAAGGTTTCATCTTGGAACAAATAGTATTTATAAAATTTCTTCCAAGGCTTGAATGTTTTGTTGCACACAAAGAGATTCCAACAGTCTTTAAAATCTGAGATGAAAGAGGGAGAGAACATTAGAGCCCATAAGGGCCCGGCCCCTGAGCTTTTCTGGCTGGCCAAAGGGCTCCCCTTCCCCTGCGCCGCCAACCTACACCTGCCTGGCCCTCATCCTGGTCCCCAGTGCAGGCCTCATGCCCCACCTCTCACCTGAGAGGTCCATGATGTTCACCGAGGCCCCTCTGTCAGCCAGCGCTCGCAGCCCCTCCTTAAATGCGGGTTTCCAAAAGTAGTAGAGGCGGGCATTGAAGATGGTCAGGGTCACATTCTTGTGATTGGTCAGGAATTCTGCAATCTCCTCTGCACATTCATTGCAGGGGCTCCAGGTCACATACCAGGTGACCTTGTAGGTCTCATCAAGGGATAGGTTAATGTCATGCAACCAAGAGAGGAAGCAGAGCTCTGCATGGAGTCTGTGAGGGCCAACCTGGGACAGGTGAAGAGAAGGGCAAAGTCCCTGGTTAGAAGGGCAGGGAGCACAGGGTGGGGCCCCAGGCATCTCATTCCTGGACTCCCCTTCTCTCTAGCCCGCCCCCCACTAGACCCTGCACCCATTCAGCACCCATCCTGGGAAGCAAGCACTCTGAGCCTCTGCTCCCACTCATCTCATTCCCCCCACTGTTCCCTGGGATGGGACACAGCTCTGCTGTCCCCAGGGGCCAAATGGCCACAGGTGAAACTCTGCTTGTCTGAATGGAGCCAGCAGCCTGAGAGAGATAACGGCTCCCTGGCTACCTTGTGGAGGACTCACTCCCTATGGAGGATATGGGGAAACAATATGGTAGGTGTACTGAACTCTGTCAGTCATTTAACATACTTCCATTCATATCTAGCAACTTTATAAACTGTAGGAACTAGAAAAAAGGGTTATGACTTTGATCTGTGGCTAGCTCTGCTTTAGAGTGAGCCTGCCCACCCAGAGGGCCTAGGCCCAAAGCACTGGAAAAGCTGAGGTCTAGGAGACAGAGAGGCAGGTGTGTGGTGAGACATTTGCAGGTGGCAGGTACTGGAACTACAGGTGCTGGTCACCTAGGAGTTCCTATACTGTGGCCTGTATCTAGATGTCCCCTTAAAGCCTCATGTGGCTACAGATGGGGAATTTCCACCTAGTAGCTGGATTAAGGTATGAGAATGTGGATTATGCGTGTGATGATGGGATTAAAGGTGTAGATAATGGAAGTGTCACCCTGCATAGAGGTGGCATCAATCAATAGGTTTGTAGCCTGGATGGAATCTAAAGAGAAAGAAGGCAGGCTTGCTGCTGCCGCTTGTGGTTTGCTGCCTTCTGCCTACTGTGCCATGAACTATTTCTTCCCTATCACCCTCTCCTGCCTTGGAACCAGCTAACTGTGGTCTGAACCTCTACAAACTTTACACCTGATCATAGCCGAAAGGTTGAGAAGCAATTGAACCTTGACAAACTTTGAGATAAGCCTTTCCTCCCTTAATGTGTGGGTGTGGGGTATTTTGTCTCAACAATAAAAAAAGTAACAGAAATTCTTAAGGCTTGGGGCAGCTCGGGCATTGTGAAGTGGGTGCTGTTGGTAGCAGACCTTTGTCATGGAGGCTCAGGGATGTGGCAGGGACAGAACCCACCATTCCAGTGGTCACAGGACAAATAAGGCATTGAGTGCTAGGGTGCCTGCCCATTGAGATCCCCAGACCTTGGGGATTGTTACTTGCGAGGCCAAATGTCAGGACCCCGGAACAATTGTTGGCAGAGTGGAACAGGGTGGAACCTCTGAATGAGGCCTTTTGTGTGAAGTCACTGGGTTTAGGACAGCCAAGCCAGAACAGCGGGCCTGAGGACATGGCCATGTGAATTTACTGGTAGTTTGTTCTGCATTCTCACCTGGCCTAGCTTCTGCCTGTCCCAGAGAAGAGACTGGAAGGTACCTGGTTTAGAAAGACCTCTTTCCAAAGTTGGTTGTCCCGCTCTCTGATTATTTTGCAGCACAGGAAGGTATTATTCCGGCCATGGGCATATTGTAGGTTCCGAAAGTAGAAATAGAATGCTTTTTTATATATCCGTTCAAACGGTTTTCTGTGGGCACAGGAGAGAAAACAGAAACGGCAGAACTGACCCACAGTCACTCCTAGTCGCTGTGCACTAAACAGGAGTCCCCAGAGCCCCGGAACCCAACACCTCCCTCTCTCCTCCAGGCCCTGGAAATCCTGCAGTCTCTCCAGGTGAGAACACAGAAAAGGCGCAGAGGGCACGAGCCAGAGAGTGCCCTTCCCACCCGGGGCCCCAGCTCTGGTCCTCCCCATGGGACACCCCACTTCCAGTGTTTTCCTACCCATCCATCTCCAAGCCAGGAGAAAATGTCAAAAACACAGAACTCCCTACCCTCGAAAGACTAACTTCTAGCCTTTCACTTCCTTCATTCCTGACGTTTCACCTCTCCAGACTACATTTGTTCAAAAGTCAAGGGAGCCCCTCAGTTCACACACTTAGCGACGGAACCTGTGGCACCCTATTGGAGCCACCCCGGCTATGAGGCGGGGAGCAGCGTCCACACGCAGCGGGGTCAACTGCCCAGCCAAGGTGCGGGTGACACGGAGCTGGTCCTCCACTTCGGCCTGTCTCCGTCTTGTTGACACCTCAAGCAGCTCAGGAGCATGCGTTTCCGTGAAAGTCTTTGTCAATTTGAAAGTACCAGCATTTCGCCTAAGCATTCTAATTTATTTTCCCCTCCAACGTCATTTTAGCGGCTCAGGGTCTCAGGCGCCCAGGCGCGGCTGTGTGCGGACCTCGGCCAGCCCCTGTCGCGGTCACAGTGGGGACGTCCTGGGGAGCCGCTGTCCGCCTCCGAGCGTCCCAGCCGCCTCCCCACAGGGACAGCGCGGGGTCACAGCGAACTGACTCGAGTGAACCAAAGCACCAACGGGTCCACTACACTCTAATTGATGACAAAGCCCGGGAAGTGCCCGGACAGGGACAGCACAGCCCGAGGACCGTCAGGCTTCCGCATCCCCAGCGCGCAGAGCCCCGCAGGCAGCGGAGCCCCTGAAGGCAGGAAGCCAAGGCCTGGCTGCAGGAGACGATGAGGCCGAGGCACCGCGGGACGGGCGGGCAGGAAGGGCGCGCAGGGAGGGGCATGCGGGCTAGCGCGGTACCTGTAGTCGGAGGTCCATCTGCAGCCCCGTGGGCAGATGTTTCTCAGCCGATCTCTTCCACTCCAGCCCTGTCGCTCCATTTCTTGCTCACAGACGGAGTCCCTGCTCCTTAGGCTCCCAAACTGCTCCTCTTACCTCAGCATGCCCGGGCGCCCAGCAGCCTGCCGCTCAGACCCCCTTCTCCTTCCCTCCTTCCCTGACTTGGGCAGTGTCCTAGGTGCAGGACCTCAGGGATCGGATCGATCGCTAAGTGAAAGAGAAACTCAACTGAGGTCCGAGGTTGGCTGGGCCAGGGTGGGGCGGAGCCCCAAGAGAGCAGGGGCGGACCGCATCAGGCACCCGCAGAGCTGGCTGGTGGGACTTCCCGGTCTTCCGGTGTGGAGAGGTTGAAAGCTATGGCACAGGGTGTCCTCTTGCACCAGCAGAAAGCAGTTGGCCCATCTACAACTCAGTTCCCCAAAAGCATCAGGAGGGACAATAGTGGCCCTAACCTCTCTACAGCACAGGGAGGCTAAGATACTTTCTTGAGGCACTCAGCAAATAAAAGGCAGAACTGGGGTGCTGGCCTGGATGCCTGGCTGCCTCGCCTGCCTGCTCTGTCTGCTTCTGGGTCCTTCCCTGTTCCCTGGAAGGCTGGGGGAAGTGACACAAGGGGAGGGGACTGGCTGCCCCTCAGGCATTCCAGGCCTGGCATTCAGAGACCTGGACTTCAAGTCTGCGTTCCAGAAGCCATCTGCCAGCCAAAGACCTTGAGATTCAAAAACAAAGAGTGTGTTGTGAGCGATGAGCCCTGAGGAGGAGCGGCAGCCAGCACCCGGCACCTCTGCTTCTATCTCCTACTGATAGGAGCCATCAGTGGCCTTTGCTGTCCCCACCCCACAGCTCCAGTCCCTGCTCTGGGATGGCCTCTGGGATAACAGGGGCTTGGGCTTGAACTTGGCTGCAATAGCATCCCCTCCCCCTCCACCTGTCCTGATGACCTGGGGCCTGAATGGGCCCGTAGAAGATTCCAGAATGAGCTGGGGCCTTTATAGGAAAAGAGGTCACACCTGTGTCAGCCTTTTGTTAGAGAGGCGAGAGGACAGAAGGGAAGGTGGAAGCTTCTGCTGGCACAGGACCTTCTCTTGTCACCTGCCTTCAGGTCCACACTGCCTGTCTTGCCCCTGGCAGGGGGAATGTTGCAGGAATGGGAAAGGTTTCTTCAAAGCTGACTCTGAGGGAGACATGGGGGCCTCACCTCAAACCTCTGTCTCCCCTCACTCAGTGCATAAGGGCTGCTATGGGGGCAGGGACGGAGGAATTTAGGGGAACAAAGACCTTGCCACCCTGTTTATCCCCTGTGCAAGGGAGGACCTTGACCTTGGGCCAGAGCTGCTTTCCAAGTTGCTTTCCAAGGATGCACTAGTTTGCTTGCTTCTTCATGAAGACACAACTTTTCTGTCCAATCAGCTGGCCCAAGGAGCTGCATGGAGGTGGGGGAAATTCAGAGAAGCAATCTTTCTTCTAATTAGGGCTTGTGAGATAGCTCAGTGGACTAAGCGCCTGCTTAGGCAAGCACAGGGACTGGCGTTTGATCCCCTGCACTGCATGCTGCACCAGCCCTGCCCCCAGGGTGTGCTGAGCTGGCCACCGAGACCCGATGTGGGGGTGCACGCTTGTAATCCCAGCACTGGGGAAGCTGAGACAGGAGGATCACTACAAGTCTGAGCTGCGTAGCAAGACCCTGTACCAAATACATACATAGAAATAAACTGCCTAATCCATTGTGTCATGCTGAGGACTCAGAAGTATCTTCCAGGTAATATATTCAAAAGCAAGAAGCACTCTTTTTTTTGCGGAACTGGGGATTGAACTCAGGGCCTTGTGCTTGCCAGGCAAGCACTTATTCTACTGAGCCATCTCCCCTGCCCCAAGACGTGCTCTTGGTCCCATGCCTGGTCTTCAGTCACACGAACCAAATATCCTTTATCCTTTTCATCTTCGCTGCTACCTCAGTATAATTAGCCCCTTAAAAAGAGAAAAAAACCAAAAAACTCTATTGATATTCAAATTGATCTTGTAGTTTCTACTTTTTTTTTTTTTTTTTTTTTTCTAGCTTAAGCTCTAGTTTTTCTCACTCTTTGACCTAGGCAAGTCTCCCAGTCATGTGTATGTGTTCCTGAAGCATTACCCCACTCTAACTCATCCTTTGTACTGTTACAAGGAATACAATCCAAAAGAAAGCTGTGTTAGGGAGGCCAATCCAGCGTGCCTTCACCCCCCCCTTCCCTTTGAGACACTCGAATCATTCACGTTTTGACAACAGAAACTGAAGTCCTCCCACAGTGTAACCTACAAGGTGCTACCACACGTGACTCTTGTTGACCCATCTACCCTCCCTTTAAAGGACATTCTTCCCACACACCATTTTTGGCCCTAAAAATATGTTCTACTATGTCTTTCTGGGCCATGGGGTAGTTTACTGGCACAGTAGCTGCCTGCCAAGCATGAGGCTGAGAGTTCAACACGTACCCAAAAAAATGACTTTGCATACAACCCTGCTTGGTATATGTTTTTGCATACAACTCTTCAAGAAGCTTGGAAAATATAATTTTTTTTCCAACTTCTCTTTGCATATTTGACTCTTAAATGTCTTTCAGTTCTCTTCTGAGTTTTTTTTTTTTTTTTTTTTGAGATTGCCTTGTGTCCTCCTCACATTGGCTCTAGGTAAGAGCTCTCCAAGGGGCCGGGGAGATAGCTCAGTGGCATAAGTGCCTACCTGACACACATAACATTCTGAGTTCTATCCCTGGCACTGCAGGAAGAAAAGAAAGAAAGAAAGAAAGAAAGAAAGAAAGAAAGAAAGAAAGAAAGAA